GATTTAAAATTACTGTTGTAACGTTGACTGGCTGTTTTATGGACGGAATTAAAGGCTTGGGACTGACGCTGCAACTACATATAAAGGTTTGGGACTTCGACAATAAAAATAAAAGGTTTGGGTGTAATCTGCAATAAAATGAAAGACTTGGGACCACGGTCGCAATTTTCCCGTTTCTAAATCTATGTTCAAATCTATTTTTACGGGACAGAGAGCCGGAAAGAATATTAATTTTTTAATGTTTGGAACATTATTATTATTATTATTTTTGAAAAACGTGCGATTAAAAAATAAAAAAAAATTGAATTTACGTATAATATTATTTTATTAAAAAATGTCATTGACGAGAAAACATGGAAAATGAATTATACTTTTAATGGCAACGGGAGCTTACCTTAATATGATATATCTGAAATTGTTGTAATTAATGGAAGCATCTGTACACGTTGCCACGTTTGTGGACGCACATGGTCCGAACTTCATGGTCTCGAGCACACTCAATCATAGTGCCCCAGCTCAAATCTCCTACCTTCTCTCCTGATCGTGCAGGCTTACGCCTCTTTCTCTCTCTATACATACAAATGTAAGATATACAATTGTATAGGTTGTGTACATGCAGAAATATGGGTGATTATATTCCCAATAATGAAATAATGATTCGGCCCGTGAACTTTGGTTTCTCAGTCTCGTTTAACTCTGATGTGAGGTATGAATTTCAGCTAAATTTATTGATGAAGACACCCATTTGATTATCTATTTTGGTAATATCGTTTGTTTTCTAATTGAAGTGACACGTTGACTTTTTCTGTAGGGATTTGGGGTTGAAATTTGTGCACTTTATGTTAATTTTGTTGATTGGTAATTGAATTGATTAGGTGAAATGCATACGTAACTGTTTAGGTTTTCCGGTTTCTTGTGTTTCTTTCTAATTCTATTGACTTCTGAACTTTATGATTGATTTCGAACTATAATTTTACTGTATTTTGAGCTTTGCTTAAGCTCAGCACTTGTTTGCTTCTTAAGCTTATTATCAATTATATTTATTGTGATTAAGGGATTTTGAATTGCACATAGTAGTGCTAAATCTGAGTAAATTCATGAATAATCTGATCATAAGAAATCGAATTGAAGTATTTTATACTAGAAAAGTTTCCATTTTGTGAAATTTCCTATTGATAGCGTTTTCTGATGAGTGGTTTGCATTTATTAACCTGGTAAGGTACACTCGTTGTTTAGCTGTTAGATCCATGTAATTAGTAAGGATTTTTCTACTTTACCAGGCCTGGTAAAGGCCTGGTAAAGTCCTCCCCTCACTCCTCCCCTCACAATGAGGTGGGTCCAATGCGGACCCACCTCAATAAAAAAACCTCCCAAAAATGTACCCACCCCGCTCAATGTGAGAGAGCCGGGTACCGGCCTGTGAACCAAAGCCTGGTACCCAAGCTCGGCTCAGTAAGGAATCACAATTACTATACTTAACCTCAGAGATTTTGGCAATCCGGGCACATGACTGTTTCTCACAACTCAGTGCCTTCTATGTGCTGAAGCAGCTAGCTTACTCTTGCCACTTAAATGCTAATTAAGAGCATGTTTGGATAAGCTTATAAGTTTAGCCGAACATGGTATAAATACGTCAATTTAGGTTGTTCGAATACATTTCAGAGTTGCCCACTTTTTAAGATATTCTTTACACAAAGTCCACCTTGTATTTCTTCTAGAATTGGGGACAAGAGATGGCAACGGATATGTTGTTCTTATGTATATGACAATAAATGTTGAGAATATCCTTTATTTGTTAAATAATACTGAATTTTGACTCTTTTAGTTATGTATACACTATTTTTCCATGGGAATAATTATTGTCCTTATGAAATTCCAAAGATAGTACGACTAATAGTGTACCAAATTTATTGTTGTGACTCTTAATAAAGATTTTCTTTGTTGTGGGGGAGGCTGAATTGCCAAAATAGATGGGTGTTTATAACTTTACACTCATGCAGTACCAGAGGAAAATGGAAATTATAAAGTGATGGGAAAGGAGATGGCTATGTAGCCAAGTTAACAGTAAAAGAAGGGTGATTCCAAAGTTCTTTGTCAGGTTTTATATAGTTACACAGGTTGAAATGTTACAGTTTATTTTTCATGATACTGATCCGGTTGGCAACTATAATAATAATTTTTAGCGTAGAATGTGTGAGTTATGATTTATAGATCTCTTTTTTTTTTTTTGTCAATTATACTGTGAACCAACTCGCATATGGAGGGCCTATTTATTGTAGTTCTAGAAACAGATGTTCCATTTTTGCTAATTGTTGAGTCTTAATACTAAAGTATATTGGGCATACATTCACGTGAATACAACAAGGAATCAATCTCAAAGCGTCTTGAGCTTATGTATTAATATTGAGCTTATGCATTAATGCTGAATGTAATGGACTGAGAGGAATCAAGGTATATCTCTGTAGGTTCTATAAAGATTTTTTTTTTTTTTTTCTTTTCTTTTCTTACTCTTTTAACTTATTTCTTTGATTAGGCTTCTAATTCACCAACCAAAAATCCTAAATATTGTGCATTGCATCCCTTGATTCTTAAACATTATACTAATCAAGTATAATCCCTGAACGATGTTACTAGTCATCAAAGTTCTCTCCAGTCTCTAAGGAAGTCTCATTTTAGCCTGAATTTCCTATTTGTTGTGATATCCACAAATATGTGTCATCAAGCCTTCAAGATGTGCCAGGTTAAATAGGGGAAGGGTTTCAAGGATTTTTGAGGTGCTCAAGGCCAAATACCAATAGGTTTCTGCTGTCAATAGTTTTATGTTGTAGTTTTAGATAAAGAAAAATCACTATAAAATGATTTCAAATCTCAAATTGATTTTTACCTTTCCAGTCCTCATATGAACATCTTTTGCTTTCTGGAGTCGAATAACCTCAGACACCATTTCACTGGTTAAGTTGTGATGAATGTCAAATACTTTACTTAGTTGACTCAAAAGTTCCTGAACGAGATTTTCTAGGCATAAAAAGAGTCATATTTTAGTCCTTGTTGGAGTGCCAGGCACTATACACCGTGTTCCCACCAGCTTCACTTTTTATTTGACCTATTGAGATGGTGTTACATCAAATATGTAGGTAGTTTTTTCTCCCACTTCATCAAATTTCGAAGAAGGATGGCCAGATAAGGATTTTAATTCATTGTGATCTTTCACATGTTGGGATAGTTTTTCCTCGGGAGATAATCTTGAGAACCACTTGTTCTGATGGTATCTGTCATGACATAATCTCTAAAATAACTTAATATTGGTTTATTTAATTAAACAAGAGGAGGGAGGGAGGGAGGTAGTTTGTAAATTGATTTTGGTAATGTCTATCATTCAAAAGCATTTTAATGGTCAGACAGACCCAAGTATTAAATGCAATGGCCTAATTTGAGTGCTTCTAAGGGCACTAATAGAAAATTTTGTGATTTGTAACTTTTCTCTTTTCTGAAATGCTTCCTTTTTTGATGTTGAGTGCAGAAATAGATGGAATCTCCTTCTGGTTTTTCAGATATGTATAGTATTTGTTTTGACCATAAAATCTTTACTCTGTTGTTTCGATTTACCATCTTGCAATCCATTAAGTTTAATGAAACTGATATTTATTCATTTTCAAGTGCCAGTCTGTCATCCAATCGCATTATCATGATCGTACATTGTGAAATGGAAAGGCCTCATTTGAGTGTGTTTATGCTGCATTCAGTTTGACAGCGATGGAGAGGAGGGGAGGGTGATTGTACATTGTGAAATGGAAAGGCCTCATTGAGTGTGTGTGCTGCATTCAGTTTGACAGTGATGGAGGGGAGGGGAGGGGAGGGGAGGGAAAGAAGTAATTAGCTACGAGGGGAGTGCATCGGAAAGGTGGGGACCAAACTTAATGATCTGTTCACCTTCACTTATACAAATGTAAAAGGTGGCAATCATCCATTCTCTTCACTGCCTTTCATTCCTTTCACCTCGAGAATCCTCCAATCGAACTTGGCATTAGACAGAGACCCAAAATGTTGCAGATTTGTGTATTCATTCTTTTCAGACATGCTTCTTGTTTCAACACAGTCCTGTTATGTATTTGCTGATTTTAGCTGAGTAGTTTGCTGATTTTCCTTCTCATCCACGTCGTTAACCATGCAGATAATGTGGTGGAGTGCTGATTCTGCGTTAGTCAATGAACCTGACCAATGCTTCTCGCAGTATGGCCCCAAGACCTCTCCGCTTCAGCGCCAGACGCTTTCCTCGAAAGTTCATTTTTATTTTACTACTAATACTTGTTCCAGTTTGTGTCATTGGAATTTTCATTCACAGTCAGAAGATCTCCTATTTCTTCCGTCCACTTTGGGACAATCCTCCACCGCAATTTGAGCATTTGCCACATTACTATGCAGAGAATGTTTCTATGGAAAACCTTTGTCGCCTCCATGGTTGGTCCTTGCGTTCCAAACCACGCCGTGTTTTTGATGGAATAATATTCAGCAATGAATTGGACTTGCTTGAGATTAGGTGGCAGGAACTCCATCCATATGTTACTAAATTTGTCATCTTGGAAGCGAACACTACCTTCACAGGCATCCCAAAACCTCTCTATTTTGCTACAAATCGGAACCGATTTTCTTTTGCTGAAGAAAAGATTGTTCATGGCACATTTCCTGGCCGTATTGTATCATATGGGTCACACAATGACCCATTTAAACTTGAATCCGAGCAGCGTGTGGCTATGAATGGGTTGCTTCATCGGGCGGGTATATCCAATGGCGACTTACTCATAATGTCAGACACTGATGAAATCCCAAGTCCTCACACCGTGAAACTGTTGCAATGGTGTGATGAGGTTCCTCGAGTTCTGCATCTTGAGTTGAGGCATTATATGTATTCCTTTGAATTCCCTGTCGACTATAGCAGCTGGCGTGCCACAGTCCATATTTACAGCCCATGGACCCAATATCGACATTCACGCCAAACGGATGTTATTCTTTCTGATGCAGGTTGGCACTGTAGCTTTTGCTTCAGGTATTTGAGAGAATTTGTATTCAAAATGACTGCCTATAGTCATGCAGACCGGGTGAGGCATAAAGAATTTATGAAATATTCTAGAATTCAAGAACTTATCTGTAGGGGAGACGATCTTTTCGACATGTTACCCGAAGAGTATACGTTTCAGGAATTGTTCAAAAAGATGGGTTCAATTCCCCGGTCTGCATCTGCTGTTCATCTTCCAGCTTACTTGATAGAGAACGCAGAAAAGTTCAAGTTCCTTCTCCCAGGAGGTTGTTTACGCTCAACAGGATGAACTTCTTACAGGTTCTGCCAGTTTTCCAGTTCAAAATTTTAAAGTTGACATAAGTTAGAGACATATCACTCATCAAATTGTCTTTCATCTGTTAGAAAGGAACTTATTGCTTTTCCTGTGCATTAGTTTCTAGCTTCCACGAGGTAACGAAGATTTTAGCAATTACACGATTTCCCATTGTACTACTTTTCTTGTTCTTAGCACGAGAAGCAAAAACTATCAATAGATATGTTGTATAACTTGGTTTAACTGTAGTTTCTGAATAAATTGTTCGCTTCATACTTGACGATATTGATTAATGACTTCGTGTTGTATTTCTTGTATGTTTTCTTTCTCGTTTACTACTATTCATCTTCTTCAGCATGTGTATGAACCTCAAGCCGCACATAACTTCGAACACTCCATTCCCGATCCATCCCATCGGATGCCAGATGCCCTACTCCTATCTTTGAACACCTGCAACACCTCTCCCTGATTAGTTCAGTGACTCCCCTCTCCTATCCTAGTTCACTAACTCCCCTCTCTATTCGAGTCTACCAATTTTGATATGATACTTAGTTCCTGTTTAGTCTAGATAAAAATTATATTTTTAGTAAATTTTGATAAATGATGATGGAATATGTGGTTGAAAAAATGTGGATCCCATGAAATTTGCAAATAAATTTAATTGTTTATTTTGACTTTGATTTTTATCTAATTTTGTAGCTGAACCAAACAGTGACTTTTGCAAGAGACATGCTTCTGTACATCTCATTTTCATTATAATGGAAATTTGATATATAGTTGATTACATTGATGTCAGAATATTGACGAATCATGTAAATTTGAATTGAACGAAAAAATAGTTTATTATGAATTGAATTGTACACCACTTTTTCACTTAAAACAAATAAATGGAAAATAAGAAAAGAGATAATTGCATTCGTGGTCCCCAATTAATTGATGGAGTTGCAAGTTGGTCCCTAAAAGGAGCAAATTGATTCTTTCAATCAAGTACGTGCACCATTAGTCTATTTGTTCTAGGGACAAAATTGTATAAACAATTAATTTTAACTAAAAAATAACCAATTAAAAAAAGAGAGAAATTTACGTTGTTAGCTTTCAATCGAAAATGTATGGAGTCACAATCCTCTCATATAAGTACTATTCACTTAATTAAGACTCGTATTCATCTATTTATATTTGAGGGTGTGTTTGAGCCACATTATTGTGGAAGCATGTATTTTGGAATAGTGAATTGATTGAGAATGTATGGTTGAAAAAAAAGGAAAAATTATTGATGCGATAGAAAATATTATTTTATTGAAGAATGTGGGATTGAAAATTAGTAGAAGAATGAAAATGAAAATTTTAATGTGGTTCAAACATGGGCTGAACTGATTATAAACACTTTTCATTCAAGCTTTACATTATTGATAAGGAAAATTACCCAAAAACCTACATTTTAATTATACATTTCAAATATCAGATCTTAAAACTTTTCTTTTCACAAATTAGGGATTAATTCATTTTTTAAATTTTAATAATAATATTATAAAATTAAAATTTAATCCACATATTCAACCCCACGCACCCCCATTTCGTTCATTTGGGTTAAAGTAAAGATTGGCTAACTTCTCACTCTTCCACTCCCTATATCTTCTCTCTCTCTCTCTCTCTCTCTCTCTCTCCCACCCCACCCACCCCCTCTCTATATTTCGGTTCTGAGCTGTCCATGAAGCCACCGATGGAGTATTAACCACCACTGCCAAAGGTCGCTCCGCTGGAGCCGCACGAGGTTGCGGAGGTAGTGGGTTTTTTTTGTAGTGGCGGTGGTGTTGCATTTCAGCTGCTCATTTAAAGAGAGTTTTAGAGATAAATTAAATGGCAGATTGGGGGCCGGTGGTTATAGCGGTGGTGCAGTTCGTGGTGCTGATTCCAGGATTGCTGTTTCAGATTCCGGGAAGCAACAGAGCGATTGAGCCACTGCCGCCAAAGGTTGCTCTCGCTGGAGCAGCACGAGGTTGCGGAGGCGGTGGGTTTTTGTTGTTGTGGTGGTGGTGGTGTTGCATTCCAGCTGCAATCAAACACAGAGTTGTTGATTATGTAATTAGTATTCAAAATTTTATGGTTTTCAAGTCATTGGGTTAGTTTCTTTGAATTTATGAGCTTTGTGTTTCGTTTTGACTAACAATTTTGGTCTCCT